ACATTTTAGAAGTGCAGTGCTCGAGAAAAGTGAAACTCTTTCCTTGCTGCAATACTGGGCCCCAACCAGCTGTATGATTCAAGTCAAAGGGCCATTCTAAAATATACACGAGACAATCTAATAATATGGTGTCTGGTAGAAATAAACATGAAACCAAACTTATTTATAGCTTTTATATCGTTTTAACTTTTCGTTTCCTGTTAGAATTTCCGCTGTTTTATACATAGTAAATTAATTGATTTGGTGCAGTAAATATACTTACTCCAGTATTTATGTTTGTGACACGTCATTTGATGTGTTGGGCGCAAATAGACCATATTTCTGGTCAAAGTCGTCCTTATGTTATACCACAATCACTACCAAGTTAAGCATATTTTACAGGCGTTTCAAAATAGGTGCCACAATCATCATAAATGTATTAAAGACACTTGAAAATTCACAAAAAACATTGCAAACTTGCGACCCCCATGGTCCTTGAGACGTCACGTGCACGTCACCTGTTGTCAGGTACTCATATTGATATGGTGCATGTAATATCGCCTATGATACCCGCATAAACTACATCTCCATCGGATAACCATTTCTTGTTTGTTTATTTTTAGCCACCAGCTAACGTGTGTGTAGCCTTTCTTTTGCCCGGCTGTTTAGACGCCCTTCTAGATATGAGTATATGCACCCTATGTTCCACTGCATGGGTCCTAAATCCTGTTTTGACATTCACTGACGCATTTAAACATGACGCCTGTTACACAGTCTTTCTATCACCTGCACCCGTGCCATGTGCACTGCAAACTAGGTATACAACGGTCGCGACATAATTTATTCGGGTTACATTGTATGAAAGGGTATTGGGTTATATATAGGAAACTGGCTGATATATGTAAAGATTAAGTAAGGATTAAGTCTTTCAGTACAAATATAGCAAGCCGTTAAACCCTGGTAATCTGGACGGTACCTGTCCTGATTAACCAGTTAACAAATCATCTGTTCGTAGTAATAACAAACATTTTTCATACCTAAACCTGATACAATTAAAAAGACGGATTAGTTTATGGATACAACAACTCAACTTTTTAAATATGTTGAATACAAATACAATTAGGTTAGTGTTTCTTTGTTTTTAACTATTAATGAAATGGAGTTCGAATCATGACTGCAATTAACACTCCATTGCATTGCTGCCAATAGCAATACATAATACTGTCACGTGATTTAATAGTTCAGTTGCATTCGTATAACGAATAACTTGTGTGAAAGTACCTAGGCTATGACAATATACACCCCTGAAGATACGGGTTAGAATAGGTCTTCAGCAACACATGCTTGCGTAAGGGGCGAATAACTGGATCGGGTGGTCAGGTTCGCTGACTAGGTTGATGCATGTCATTGTATCCCAATTGCGTAGAACGATACTCGTGATGTCGTGATGTACAACGCCTACATATGCATCGGCGCAAGGCGTGTCTACAGCAACAACGTCACCTCTTGAGTACACCACAGGCACGATCAGACCGCCTCGTCTCACACATGGAAGAATTATGAAATCTTTGAGAGGCCCGAGAAAGCTTAGAGATAGTGTTACGCAGACAGACAGACAGACAATAGTTTATTAACGTCTCACTCCTGTACATACATAAAACAGCTTTATACAACCTGACATAGATAAAATGTACAGAACCATTCAATAGAATTATGAGAGACGAATTATCACAGAATTTATACATAAATGATATAAAGATGATATAGTAAAAAGTTATCCATATAAAAGATGTTTTCTACGATTAAGAATTAAAAGGCAGACTTTGGCAAGTATAAACGCATCAGGAGCTCTTATCTGTATATATAGCTTATTTTGCTATGATTCTTGAACGATATTCGTGTCAATAAAATGCATGGGTTTGATACATTATTATTGTCTAAAATGACAATAACGTCATATAAATATGTTATTCTTGATATTATGTCGATACTGTTTGATTCTTCATTCCCCATTTATTTTATTACGAAAGATAAGAAACTAGTGTGAATGGAAATGAGCATTTTATCAAAAAAGATTGTCAGCTCGATTGTTAAAATTGGCAAGGTTTGCATCTGTGCAAATTTAACTATTCCCAAAGTTGATTGGTCAAGTGATGAAGTAGGATGTCATTATGCTGCATTGTTGATAACAATTGTACATGACGTCATGCATTTTTCATAACGTCACTAATTGATAACGTTACTTAAAAAAACCATTGGGTTGAAGTACAGTGTCTTTGTAGAGTAGACATTTCATAGCGTTTGCCTCATTTTCGTATTTAGAATGTCTTTAAGGAGATACACGTACTTTGTTTGAAAATTAGAATAATGTTTCTAAATTTCATTTAAAACCGAACGCGTAGCGTGATTAAATGAAATTTAGAGAAAGCCTTACCGAGGCCGTGAATGTGATAACTTCATCAAACAAATGTTATGACGCTCTTTGAAATCTATGTAGAAGGAGCATGCTCGAGTGTACCTCAAAAGTTGTGAAAGGTAGACACCAAAGACTGGAGCAGCTGGAATATTGGTCTACATAAAGGGAAAGTTGAAGTCATCTCTCTTCTCGTCTTGTGGAGAGTGTCTTGCTGTAGAAATAGTAAAACAAAACGCTGAACTAATATACTTCTCAGTAAGGATAAGAATTTATGGATGAACAACTTCTTTATTACAATTAAGAGCGACGTTAGGCAGTAATATATTTCTCAACAAACTCTATTCAATAACAGTCGTCTAGTTTTTTTAATATTAAAAATGAACAGCCCTCCAACCCGAACTTGATCTACTTAATTCGCGGTTACTTGTCACTTGTGTCAATGGCTGCCCAAGTAGCTGTTGACAGTCTCTGTGCTATTGACAAATTGCACGAAGCCAGATGACAGACCTGATCTATGATGCTTTTTAAGAAAAAAAAGCCTGTAGATTTTCTAGAATGAGCCTGCTGGTACTGCGTGATTGCCAATGAACACACCCTCAAATATAGTTGAATACCGCTTCTGTTTAGCTGACGACTCGGCATTGTCTGATATATTCTTCATTGTCAATTTCATGAATTTATGGCATTCGTCGCCAGTATGAGACAGAAATGTGACTGTTGTGGGTCGTGTATGTTTTGCCTTACTGTGCATGTTCTGATATTGATTTCATTATGATAAGCTGTTGTGATTAATAGCCTATGAAGTGTCCTAGTTAGTGTCAGGAGATTGGTTTGTGAGTCTTGGTGGTCCTTGGTAGAGAGCGGCGTTTTCTTGATGTAATTTAGACAGGTACAACTTAAATGAAGCAACCGGACAGGCAGGAGCGCAAGTCGCATGTATGCAAGGTTTCGTCTGGTACAAGTCATGAATATCAATACCTCACTCTATGTGCTTACCTCGCATCCTACGTCGTTTCCTTCTGATATTCACGGATCTACCTGGAGGTACAATCGAGCATACTCTTTCTATGTCAAAGAGCGTCATACGACTCTGTCTCAAAAGTTGTTTGATCAAGGTCACCCCATTCAATGCCTCAGTTCAGACTTCAAAACGTTTTATGGTTGACATGTGGAGGACATTTCCCAATCGGTGTCCGATGCTATTCCCAACTTTGAATTATACCATAAGTTCCCGTGTTCTTCCATGTGAACAATTGACTTGCTTTTGAATGTGCATGTGAAGGGGTGTACTCCCGGTTTCCCAACATTGGAAAACTTAGAACAACACAGGGATTAATGGATTAACACCTGTGGGTATGTCCCACTGTCTGTTTAGAGGTGACCGACGCTCTAAGGACACACTATGATTTTTTTTATTTATATCGTATTTGATTTCACATGATTTCCATATCACAGCACAATCAATATTCTAATATCACAACAGTTGATAATGTCTCAAAATCAAATTTAAAATACAACTCGACAATTTATAAATTGAATAGAAACATTAATAAAGTATCAACATGTATGCTACATACAAATTTACGTATCTTGGATAGAAACATTAAGTATCAATGTATGTTACACATAAATAGAAGCATCACAAATGCCAGAAATCATATAATGATGACGTGTTAGACCTCGGGCATTGCTTCACTTCCTCCAGATCGTTGTCCTTATTCAAATGAAACAACACAAAAGTCTTGCCAAATACTTCAATTAATATATAATCAATTTATATCATTGTAAATTTAGAGTGAGTGAGTATGTATGGATTGACGCCGCTTTTAGCGGTATTTAAGCAATATCACGTCAGGGACACCAGAAATGGGCTTCACACATAAATCCCATGTGGGGAATCCAACGGGTGTCTCAGCATGAGGAGCGAGAATGAGATAAACAATATATGTAATGCTTGGGGAAGTTTAGGCACTTACAGACGGAAATCTTGAATGATTAACATTTAATATAATTTAATACATCGCGTTGGTTTATTTATATCCTAGGTTTAAGTTGAGCTGTAAAAGTGGATAAAGAACAGAGCCTTTTCAGGTTTTACGATAAGCGAATAATGCGTTTAAGTTGGTTTGCACGTAGATGCCCAATATTTTGACATTGTAATTTTTGAATCGTTATCGTAACTGTAACGTCAAATGGAACAGATATACAATATTTCATTGTTTCGTCGAATGAAGCTGACAGATGTTGGCGAATCTGTTAATACGACCATCAAGGGGGCTAACTCGACAAGTGAGAATAATCCTACTACTTATCTCACATCTTGCCACGGCACGTGCTCACCTGTACCCTCGTCACTAGGACAACGATACCACTTACCTGCCATCACACAGGTTGGTGAGATGTAATCAGAAAGACAAGCTGATAGACACACAAACACCAGAGACTGCAGTAGATTATCGCCTCTTATCTTTACTTAGAGGCAATCAGGTGTGAACTGAATTCACGCGCGCGTGACGTCATGACAAATGTCATGGCGTGTCATATGTCGCGTGCCTTATTACTGGTGAACGAACTCACGCGCCTTAGCTTTTACTGGTGGAGATTATAAACATGCTGCAATCGAACTGGAAGGTCATATCTGCACAGACTTCAGACCAGTGCAAGCGTTCTCTGACAAAATCTCTTGGACATTGAAAATCGGAATCTTCACCATGAACTCAAACAACGCCCAATACGAGAGTACGCTTTCTTTGGATAGTTTAGAAGCCCGAGGTAAGTTCTTTATTATTTATATCAGATTCGAGATGAATATGTAGAACATGTCGTTTATTATAAAACATACAAATACAGATGAATCAATAACGGTAAATCACCGTTTGACGCCGAGATGAATGCGTGTATAAAATGATATATCGTTTACTTGTTATCATATACAGTTCATATCAATAAAACGACTTAACACTATTCAACATACATGTAGTACAATCACAGTACAGGGTGCATCAAGGCGTCGTATCTAACTCTGTGTTTGCTGTTCTCAGATTCCAGAAACCGGCGCCGTATTGCCTACAGGGTGAATGATGCTTACTCATCCACAGATGAATCGGAAACAGATGGTAAGATTTTTTTACTGAATCGGTATTTTTTGAATCGGTGTGTAATGGTATGCACAAGAAACACCTGAGCTTGGAACCTCCGATAACAAGCTTCTGACACGCTTAATGGATCAAATCTGCACAGACTGTGCCTCCTCTTTAATGAATGCAAGGAAACTGGTCTGAAGTACAACCTGTGTAATGAAAGTTATTTGCCTTTCAGGGTCATCAGCCACGTCTGGGTATAGTTCCCGAGCTAGCAGCCCGCATGATCTGAGCGACGTAGACGATGTTGACGACGGAGTGGTGTTTGAGAGCACGAAGCCGCTTATCCACACGCTTGAGTATATCCTCTGTGTACAAGAAATGTGTGACGTCACATTCCTTGCTGGCAAGAAGAAGGAGCCTGTCTATGGACTTCAGGCGGTCATGGGGTCAAGATCAAGGTGAGTTTCAAGAAAGATGTACCACCACCCTACTCTAAAAATATAAATGTACATGTACAAATATAGGTGAGGTGAGGTGAAATGGGGTTTAACGTCGCGTCCAAGATTATTGCACTTATATAGCGACGTGCATGTACGTGTGTGTGTTTGTGTGGCTGCTTGTACTAGTCCGGACTGATGCCGATTTATAGTGCTAGCTCACTGAGATACCATGCCGCAGTTTATCATGAATACCCCACTCAGACACAGTATACCGACTCCGAGCCGACCAGTCCTTGTTTTAGCCCCTTAATGCCGAGCGCCAGACAGGTACAAATATAGGTAATATCGAAGGATGTATAATCTCTATATCTATATTTTCGTATTGGATTGTAGGTACTTTTATCAACTGTTTCTCTCAAAGAAGAAAACACGCAAGTCCAGCGAGGATAAGAGGGGCTTTTTCTCTTTCTTCAAGAAAAAGGCGAAGAAAACGGAATCCGTGCCTGCAACTCAAGTCTGTCACCCCGGGGCCAACCACGTCACCATCCCCATCCCCGACTACGACCACGAGGTACTCAGGAGAGTTGTCTCATTCGTTCACCTAGGTCACGTGACTGTGACGACAGACACCGTCATAGGTAAGTACCGAGAAGATAAATGTATGTGTTTGCCTTTTTATGAAGAAATACCAACCTAGTATTCCTAGTTTGTGATACGGAAAGGCGCAAGAAGCTTCAGAAACTGCGTATGAATACACTGAATGAATGAAGCGTATATAGTGCCAAATTGTTGTCAATACTTTACTGGTGACGTTAGGGCATGCTTCGATGTATGGAGCTTGACAGTTCCTACTTGTATTTGCACATTTGTCGGACCGAGGTACCAGGTCCTATTGCATCTATTATATGATACAAATCTTTTCTTTTAGGATTGATATGTGCCGCCACCGAGTTCCAGTTGGATGATCTGCGCAAGGCCTGCTGGGAATTCGTAGATATGTGTATGGTAGCCGATACCCTCCCCGCACTTCTTAAGTCTGGAGCTCATTACAGGAAGCGACCCCATGTGAAGCTGTTCCTTCAGATGGTGAGTACCTGTGATACCTGTGATTATAAAGACGATTTGAAAAAATAAATAAAGTATACATCTTTGAAAACCAACATGTTTCGCACAATCTAACCCATTTCATTGTTTTGCAGATTTCCAAGATGCGATAGCAGATTCCCCAGCAGCTCTTCCGTGTTGTGCTATTCCTTGCGTGACGAATGTCACGTAGTGCTCAAATTGTACATATTACTGACTACAAATAAATATGAATATAGAAACCACATGAATTGATGTTGTCCTTTGCAAGTACATTACATCATCTAGGTGAATGGGAGCATTTGAACCTGATGAATATCGTAACAATAGTTCTGTTTTACGAAACGTATTTGAGGTCCCATGTCACGCGGATCCCATGTCACGTTGATACATTCCTTATCGAATATATATTCAATAAGTTGTTTGACTAAAACGGACGGATGGCAAAGTAGACAATTTATGGATAACATCGGGAAACGTTACTTTGTTCTACATTTTCTTGGAATAAAACTGAAGATATGAATCATATTACCTACTAAGAATTATAGAGTGTCCTAGTTTTATGTCGCGTGAGTAACCAAGAGGTCTCGCAACGGGCGTAAACTTATATGGATGGCTATTGAAGCGTGACTGCTAATATCAATCACATTTTCACGATCACAATGCAGTTCCAAGGCCAACATATAATTTCTTGATCTATATGTGCTATATGCTATATGTGTGTAATAATCTTGGACGAAACGTTAAAACCCATTTCACATTCCCTTGATCTTTAACACGTTTTTATTTTACAAATGACAGTGATCGTTGATAGTGACATAGTGTCCACTAATGAACGTATAGACAAATCAGTCATTGACATCATGAGCATCGATCTACGCAAATGGGATACGGTGACATGTATCAACCAAGTCAGCGAGCCCAACCACCCGATCCCGTTAGTCGCCCCTTAAGACAAGCATATTTTCTATATACGTGTATTATCAGAAATACAGACCATTTATTTCTATAATACATTACTATAGCATGATAAACACACACGTACACACACGTACACACACACACACACACACACACACACACACACACACACACACACACACACATATATATATATATATATATATATATATATATATATATATATATACACATATATTTCATTCATGACAAAAGGTATTAGCAGAGACCATTTAATCTATTATATGATCTCTGGTATTAGGTGTTAGGTGATTTGTAGGTTTATGCTGAGAACAAACCCATATTAGATATTATAACTTGTGCTGTGCGTATTTCATAAAAAGATAGATATTCAGTGTAATATGACGGGAGATCCTTTCTTCTTTTTGTGGCATATCGTTTACATAAAACATCACATGGTATTCATCTTCAAATATATTTAGAGTGTTTGGACAAACAGAAATTATTAAAGCAGAATCGTTCATTATGGGGAGTGTAACTGTATCTTCCAAGTTCCGCTTTTTAACGGAAATTATTACATCTAAACTTTATATATATGTAATGTGGAATGTCTTTTGTTGAAAAAGTTCAACAAAAAATTTGTACTGAACATAGTAATTACATTTCGAAGATAATTCCATTAAAGGGTGCCAATTTTGATGCAAGTTATCTTATAGTCTTTACATAAATTCATTTAGGAATAATGGCGTATAGCCGAAATGCAAGTACATTAAAACAGTCAATCCATAATAAAAATATAAGAGATCTGAAATAATATCACTTAAATCACTGTCTTCTTATTCTAACCGTAAACATAATTGGAGTTGATAAAGAATGAGAGAATTATTCAAACCAATAATTGTAAATAACAACTTGAAGTAAATATCTATCGAAACCAACTTAACCATAACATAGTCCTGCCGAACTAGGCAGTTATATTGGAGTTATATTTTGGCTGGACTAATGTGTCCATGTATAGTCCAATCAAAATCGTGTAGCGAAATCGACATTCTGTTCGCAAACACCATGGGGATATCGGTCGATTGCAGAATTTGATGAGCATGTGTACCGTCAATCTCTTCATGTTTTTAAGCAAGTGTTTTCTTGTACTTCGCGAGGTAAAACCCATTGACTGGGCGCCGCCATTTTGTTTGAAGCAAATGCAAGTTGGATCTGATTGGTCAACAGGAGAGACATGGAAGGAAAGTAACTCGTAATCCCCACTGATGGCGGCGCTACGATTGAGAAATTCCAGGCAGGTCCGGCAAGAGTGGAAACTGGACTTTTTGCCTCAGGAAGATGCATTATAATAACACAAGAGAGTAACGATGTAGTTAATTTCTTCTGTCCTCATATCATTTTCTCAACCCTTTCAGGTCCAGCTCGAAACGTTATTCTGCTGTCTGTATTCCACAATCTACTCCACAAACTGCTCTGAAGCTAATAGTAGCGGGAGGATCGCTGCCTGGCACGTGGCGCTGCGAAGCTCTGTTGTGTATCGACCACAAATCTGACGCTGTACAGCCGTGAATCATAGACTAAAACTTTGGTTAATTTGGAAAGGCTTCTTTCAAGTAAACGTAACCCTTTCGAAAATGTATACTGGACACTAGTTTTTTTTCAGAGAACAGTACGTCCCGGGTTGCATCGTGATACTTGTAGCTGAAATAAATACATAATAAAAAATAAATTATTAAATTATATGCACAGGTCAAAGTTTGTACCAAACGTATTTTAGAACTGAATTATATGTTAAAATGTAACTCCGATGTTTTGTAATAAAAAACCCCATTAACTTGAATGTACATTTCGACGGTAGACTCAGAGTGAGTGAGTACGGTTTTACGCCGCTTTTAGCAATATTCCAGCAATATCACGTCGGGGGACACCAGAAATGGGATTCACACATTGTACCCATGTCGGGAATCGAACCCGGGTCTTCGGCGTGACGAGCGAACGCTTTAACCACTAGGCTACCCGACCGTCCCGGTAGACTCAGAGAACATACATATGGTTGTATATACATGTACATGTACTTTTTTCGCGATGATTTAAAGTGTATTGACCGTCTGCATAGTTTCATTCCCCTTTGATATCAAACGCGGTTTGAACATTAGTGAGCGATTGAGTGTTTTTAACCGTTTGATAGTATGTGAGTTATATTACGACATGTCAGATGATGACCAGAAACATATTTCGTTTGGCGTAAAAGGCAAAATAGCGGTAAAAAATATATGAATTGAACACCGAAAATCACAATCGGTGATGAAAGCCCGATGTGATGCAGGTCTTGGCGTTTACCACTGGTGAAGCCCACGGACAGGTGTATGTTGCTGACAAACATAGAAACATAATCAGGGCGAATCGGGATTTGAACCCACGATCATAGGTTTCCGGCTCGCCTAAGGCACGCAACTGCGGATAGAGAATTAATTCGCCTTTGACGACTGTGCCACTTGTATTGGACATATTATAACAAGGTGACTGGTGATATATACACGAAGCGGTTTCAGAGTAGCGGGTTACACATATACTTGTCAAGAACATTAGTCATACTCAGTGAAAAGTCCACGAGAATTAATTTTAATAAACCCTTTTAACCAATCATATTACAGCACGCATGACCATGCGCTTTCTCTTGACCTTTTTTATTTCTCGAAACAATATGTGGTATCTATCCAATCATTCTTAACAACGTATTTTTGCTAGTGTCATTCATGTCTACTCAGTTGGTTGAGAGTAAATGGATTCTTACCAAGTCTACTGAACCCACAAATGCCGTGGTTGTATTTGGTGAGGTACCTCCTCCGACTTGAAGACCACACTCCATGATGGTAGCGTTAGTGGCTGATGTACGTAGAAATAAAAAAAACCCCATTTCACACACGATAACCTGGAGAAACTTTTTAAATGGGTGACATATACTCAGCAATTGGGCCATACTAGCATTTATGAAAAAGTTGTATCGCGAAGACATTTGTTTATGTACTGACAATAAAGTACAATAATGTAATTTCCAATAATGTCTATTCATGACCACACACGTCTACATGTTTTTTACATAGTTTTAGTGAATGTTTTTTCAGGGATCAAGTCACAATATTAATTCAATTTCAGATTTGCTAGACGATTTTAAGAAAAAAGTGTGTTTGACTTGTGATGGCCAAACATGTCATGACAATTGTAATGTTCCCCGACGTGTCATGTTCAAGGACCTTACCCCTGACTTTTGATATGTAGGTTAAACGACCGGACTCTACCGCTCCCGACAACTCTCGTCCGTTGTAGTCAACAGTAACTGTCCTCCACTCAGACCGTGCCATACCCTGAAGAATAATAAACAAAAGAATTACGATAAGGGTCCGCCCAATTAATATTCTTGGGAAGAGTATGTGCGTGCGTGTGTGCGTGCGTGCGTGCGCTCATGCGCGCGTGTAATAGTTTGAACATACATTAATTATTTTCTCAAAAATAAAAGGCATAATTGATTATCCACCATGTTATATCTCTATTATGTCTTGTGAGTCCACCCAAGGCCCGTACTTTCAAACATCCAGAGATCCAGTGTATTATATACCAAACATCGGAGATCCAGTGTATTATATACCCGCTCTGCTACGATAAATACTCTGAATTTTGAGTCCAATTTGAAACACGCGACGCTAAAACAGACGTCCAATGAAACGACACAAATGAGCGAAAGACATTCTGATTAGTTACATATTAGGGATAGACATGGTGCGGTCACTTTCTTAACGGCGCTATGGTAGCGAATGGGCCCAGGGTACTTATCATACTAGAATAGGGATGTATAATAATCTGGATTATCGAGGACAGCAGACAGCAATCATTTGGACCCACAGGACATTATTTGTCACCCAGCATGTCGAGTGAACGACTTGTTGTAAAATTATTATCATGATCATTATTATGATGATGATGATGATTATATTAAACATTTATATACTGCACCTACTAGAATCGGCTCTAATGCGTTCTTCTTCTTATTATTATTATTATTTACAGATTAAGATATAAAATGCAACAAAGAAGGTTTGTGTGATCCTGGCACAGTCAGGCTGGTTAGGCTCATCATCAGCTCAAGGCCCTTGTCCCCTGTACATGCAGTCCAGACAGCGAATGGGACTTCTCCCAGGAAACGCTGCCTAGTCAAACCCACCCAGAACTTTTCTGAGAATGTGAAGACCCCCCCAACACTGCAGCCTTCTGCATTACCCAGATTGTCAGAAGGGCTGTATCGCTGGTAGCAAACTCGGGTACTCTCCCAATGTCAGTCAACAGATTGGGAGGTACCAAACCTAAGGCACCAAGAACAGTGGGGAGTCGGACAACTTGGTACTTGGGATGCAAGCGTGACATTTCGAAAGCGAGATCTGCACATCTGCCATGTTATTCCCGAATCTTGTCAATCACATTAGTGTCAAATGGGACAGAAAATTCAATGATTAATGATTTCACTGGATTTATTAAAAAGGACAAGATCAGGTTTGTTGGCCTGGATACGCCTGAGGCTGTAAACGGGCCTATTCCAAAGAATTTTGTATTCATCATTTTCCATGACACCATCGAGCCTCTCCATCATGTCGCTAAAGAAACTGTGTTTGTGCCAAAGCTGGGCATCCACTGACAATGTGTTGGACAGTCTCATTAAATTCATTACATAGTCTACATTTCATATTTACATTTTGATGCAAAATCACACATTGACGGTTTCGAGTGAGAAGTGACTGGTCCTGAGCAGCAAACAGAAAGCCTTCTGTTTCACTTTTCAGGCCTGCCGACTTCATCCAAGCGTAGGACTCTACAGGGTTGCTGACCTTATCAACACACTGTACATAAACTCGATGCAGTGGTCGTTCAGATAGCCTCTCCTTCACTTCGCTTGGTTGACACTCATATCTGTACCAACCAGCAGTGTATAACCATTATTATTATTATTATTATTATTATTATTTATATACCACACGTATCCAAGTACTAGTATCTACTCAAGAAATATTTTATTTGTTCCCCGACCAGTGGATCTGTTGGCAGTCCAGTTATCCTACTCAAATCCCTGGGGAGTATATAACACCTCACATACCTATTCCCTGCTGGTCGAACAGAGGCACATTTGAACTGAGTCACTTGCCAATGGTGACACCATATGTCTTGACAATTGTGTTTCCGGTGTTCGTATTCGTGTTTCCGCCATCTGGTCATCTACTAGCGAATGAGTTGGTTCTTTGAGTGCACAGGGTGAATGTACTGTACACTGTGGGTAGTGACCACACTATAAAGACCTGTAAACATTGTTGGTCCCAAGGCTGAATAACAACCCGGTCACTAGCGGCACCTGGCCTATTATGCCTACTATGTATTCCACCGCGACTGTATCCACGTTATTGTACATACCTGGGTAGATATCGTCATCTTAGTGACATCCCCATACCAGGACCACACACTGAACTGTATTCCTTGATCTTCTACCGTCATCAGCAAACTGTTGCCCTTCTTGCAGTCACTACTACTCATCAGGATACGTCTCCCAGAAACTGCTTGTGCCTCCCTGAAACGGAGCTTGACAGAAACTGAAGTGTTGACTGTCATCTTGATGTCGAGGTACATGCGGCTGGTAGAGACTAGTGTAGCAATTCCCGAGTTGATGCTCACGTTGGTCACGCGCAGCCAGGACAGAGAGCTTGGTGAGTCTAAGGCATGGGTAACTGTGCAGCCTGGAATTACAAAACATCAACGCCAGTGAATAACCAATCTTCAGTATCTTCTTTGATAGGCATTTAGAAGTTGGAGTACTAAGTAGTAAGTTGCTTGATAACGGTGTTAGAACCTACACCGAAACGTCGCTCTTTAATTGTAATAAAGAAGTTGTTCATCCATAAATTCTTATCCTTACTTAATCTTCAGTTTACGCCGATATAGATTCCATTGGGCGTAAAGGCAAAATAGCCATGATAATTATGTGAATGGATCACTGAACATCAGTGTTCGCTAAAAGGGTAAGCATGTCATGCCCTAATGGTAGCACACACAATTTGTGCTAATCGGAATCAAGTGATTGAAACAGCATTTCCAGCGACACGATAGCGCAATTACTAATTTTGCTTTATGTTAGTTTTGAATAACGTTACGAACAAGAGATTTTGCTGCTAATAAGTAAAGAAAATCGTTAGTTTTGGCATATATGAAAGAATGACCAGTAGATGAATCCTGTTCAGGATGGGGTTTCTGAACGATTAAAAGGTTACATCATTCGGACAATGTTGTCATATTTGACGTGTCACATTGACTTTCAGCCACCACATGTGACAACTTTTGGGGGAGGTGAAAATTGGTTTGATTATTGTAACATCATCTTTCCGAGGCAAGGCAGTTAACCGATGATAAAGGTCCAGTTTCCACCCTTGCCGAACTAGACTGGAATTCCGGAGTCTATGGCATAGTCCAATCAAATCCCACAACGAACTAGACATCCGGTTGACACCAACATGGATGTCAATGTGCAGATTTCAGTCGACTGCAGGATTTGCAAAGCATGTCTTCCGTGAACTGGGCGTCGACGGATAGGTTTCAAATCTTTTCATGTTTTTAATCAAGGTGCTCACCTGATTTGATGCACTAAGCGAGGTAAGGCCCGTTTTATTACAACATGATCTTGATTATCGATCAGATCGTCTTGACTGGGCGCCGCCATTTTGTTTGAAGAAATTGCATATCCGATTGTTCAATAAGAGGGACATAGCAGGGACATAACTCGGAATAGCCACTGTTTGCGCTACGACCGAGCCACGAATTCCCAACGTATTTCGGCAAGGGTGGAAATTGGACTTGTGTCGTCAGATAACCCCCATGTATCGGGAGGATGTATAACCATACCCGTAAGTCGGAATGGATACTAAGGTCTTGACCCAATATACATGTATGTTGTAGTTGTAGCTACGTCTCTTTCCACGTTGCTTGCAAAACATCTGCAGCATATGTTTTGATTGAAGGTTCAATATTTACTTGGTTATAACTCACTACGTTGGTCTGTGCAGCCACACTCAGCAATGTCGAATACAGTCCCTGATCCACAAGAATCCGACGTCCACCCAATGCTTTCAACAAAGGTGTTGTAGATTGTTGCTGTTCCGGTCCAGTCAGGGCCTTTGGCACACACTTCTTTAAGCGAAATGATTGATGTTGTTAGTCTTTGTATGCATAGCGTTACTTTGAAAACAATCCTTCAAAACGAAGGGTTCCTTGAGTTTTGGGTTTCTTAATACGTTTTATGCAACAAATGTCTTATTTGGGATTAAAATTTCTAATTCAAGTAAACGTTCTCGTACTTGTTTGGTATACTTTTGAGAATTTGTACTTTACTAAGAAAATGTAATCCCAAATATAACATTTGTTACATTTGACCACTTTATAAAAGGCATTGTGTATTCGTACGTTTTATGAAGTACGAGTCCATTTAAACATATAACCATTACATAGTCCACAGTCACCAACATACTTAAACAAACGTATGTATGTATGTATATATATGTATGTAACATAAAACGTGATGTGTGTGTGCGTGTGTGTTAACATAAAACGTGATGTGTGTGTGCGTGTGTGCGTGCGTGCGTGTGTGTGTGTGCGTGTGTGTGTGCGTGCGTGCGTGTGTGTGTGTGTGCGTGTGTGTGTGCGTGTGTGTGTGCGTGTGTCGGAATGTGATTCCACCTTACCTCTGAAACCGTAACGATGGGGACATACATCATCGCAGTAGTAGTTGGCGCGACAACCGTGACCAGGGAAGAAGCTGAATCCCTGGGAACAACATCTGGCCACTGATTTCCTTCCATCACACCGCCAGTAGGATCTGCAGCTGCCTTCCATCTTATAGCTGGCTGCACACGTCCCCGTGCACCGCTCTGGATTCGGAGCGTACCGGGATTGACATAAGAAGGTAACACTAGCGTTATGAGACTGAAGATGTCTACATATGGCAACTTCTTTAAAAGTTAATATGATTTCATGATCCAACATGCAAACAAATTGGTACGATGTAGGTGGTGAATAACGTTAATCACATTTCCTTGTACTTGATAAAATATGGTCATTATAAGCAAAGCAACAATAGATATCTCTTCTAAAAATGCGAACTCACTAGAATGAACGTAGCTGCATTATGCTAAATAACATACAACATGGTATTCCACATACCATGTACTTGAAGAAATGGCTCGATAATCGATCAAACCTAACATTTCAATATGGCTGCCGTGGCGGCTATGTTTGCGATCAGATCGGAATTCTGGAATCATTCTTGTAAAGTGCCAGTTTAAACCACGTTTTAGTTTCAGAGGCGATGTAAAAAAAGCATAAGTTAACGACGAACGGACAGATAGACGACGGACAACCCACCATGTCTTAAGTTCACTGGTATACGTGTCTTTCGCACATTATACCCTGATGACATTAGGCTGTTAAACACAATACTAAACATGTCAAGGAGCATTTTAGGTTTGTGTTTAGGATCTTAACACGTTTTTTTACATTGTGATCATGGTCGTTATTGCAACTCTACATCCACTATACATGCAGGGCCATACCAAGAGGACATGTAACTTTCCATGATTCATCGCACTGGAACGTGACTTGGTTCCAGTAGAAGCCGAAGGGGCAGCTTCTGTAGACGCCGAGGACATTACCGCGGGGGTTGAAGAAACACTGAACGTACTTGTCACAGTCGGCTGGATGGTAGCGATACCCAACATCGTTCCACCGTTGTACATTGGAACATAAGTGGTCACTGGCATCTGGTGTGTGATAATTCATAAGCATTGCAAAAACATAATGATGATAAGTCAACACCTGTTGGTTGCATAAAGACGATCTACTTAGTCTATACTTTGTGCCTACATATTGAACGTATGGAACGATTACAAAATATATAATTTAAAGCTTCTTATTTGAAACATATATTAACTAGGGTTATTGTTCATTCTTTGATACTGCTTAAATAAAAGGGAATTTACTTCTGAAAAAGGAAATTTTAACAGGTTTTGGTGTCTATATTTTACCACTTCTGAGGTACAACGGCGATCTGTAAATAAACAAGTCCGGACCAGACAATCCAGTGATTGATATCATGAGCATCGATCCACGCAATTGGGATCGATGACATGCATCAACCAAGTCAGTGAGCCTGACCACCCGATCCCGTAAGTCACCTCTTACGACAAGTACAGTCGCCTTTTATGGAAAGCATGGGTTGCTGAAGACCTGTTCTACCCCGGATCTTCATGGGTCAGAGAGTTGTTTGAGCAAGGTTACAACATTCCAGGCCTCAATAAAGCTTCAAAAATGTTATGGTAGTCATGTGGAGGACATTTCCATATTTGAGGAATCCGTGACCAAAATGATGTCTGATTCAATTCCCTATTTGGATTTGTACATGTTCAAGTGAACAATTTACTTGCCTTTGCGTGTATTCGTAAAGGATGCCATGGGCGAGGCAGCATACCCTCACCTTTACGTGAACACCTGGCATCATCACTATTTGATAGTTACATATACTCAACAACAAAAGTTCCTGTGACACCAATATTTCATTGCATTTTTCAAACAAGTAAAGTTCGGTTTTCAATATTGTAGTACATGTATGGAATCAAGTCACATTAACGCAACTGCTACAGATAAGCATGCATTCCATGCACAAGTTGACTTTTATGCAAGCCCCATGCATTTCACTACCCAAGAGTGGGTATAAAAACATGTTCGTTAACGGGATTCCATATGCATTGTTTAGCATCGTGCTGACAACAACCACTCAGAAAAACAACAAAATTACGCAATTATTCAACATACGAAATGACACGCCTGTCCGAAAATGGGCGTCTGCGAGCCATTGATATGCTTGAAGCAGGATCGAGTCAACGTGATGTTGCAAGACAAATTAACGTCCACAGAAACATACCATTTGGTGTTTATGGCAACGTTGGCAACGGACGAATGCAGTCAGAGACCATCCTCGGAGTGGCAGGCCACGCGGAACCAATAATCGACAAGACAACTGGATTCGAACAACACACCTACGAAATCGATTCCAGCCAGCAACAGTGACTGCAAGAAGCATCCCTGGCCTTCGACGAATATCTTCACAAACCGTACGTCGCCGCCTCAGATGTGCAGGGATTGTCGCCAGAAGACCCGCCAGACGTCCCATTTTGACAGGAAACCACCGTCAAGCACGTCCACAGTGGTGCAGACAGTGTCTACGCTGGGCGGCCACACAGTAGGGACAAGTTCTATTCACTGACGAGTCTCGTTTTCACATCAGCCACATCGATGGACGGATTCGAGTGTACCGACGTCGAGGTGAACGTTACGTCAATCATTGTGTCATGGAAGAAGATCGGTTCGGGGGCGGCAGCGTTATGGTATGGGGTGGGATTACAGCAAGACAGAGGACTTGTTTGATAGTGGTAGAGGGAAATCTCAATGGACAGCGCTACCACGACGAGATCATCGGCCCTATTGTTCTACCGTTTTTGCGTCGTCATGGCCCAGGCATTACCTTTCAACATGACAACGCCCGGTCTCATATTGCTCGACTTGTTCAGGATTCTCTTCAACAAAACAACGTGAATGTCATCCCCTGGCCGGCTCGCTCCCCTGGTCTCACCAATCGAGCACATGTGGGATGAGATGGATCGGCGCCTTCGACGTCAACCATGTGTTCCACAGACACTCCAGGAACTTCGAAACATGCTCCAGCAGATATGGACAGAAATCCACGGGACTTAAACCTGAACATTTGTCACTAAGAGTCACTAGGGTCGGACATACCTGGACAAGGGCTGAAACCACAGTTTACTGCACGCGATTCACTGTACGCGCCACTACAGAGTCTCCCACCGTTCTGTGCAGGTGGATTGGTGCAGGTCCTCCTTCTGGTGACCGAGGTGGTCACGTCAGGCCCACATGTCGCATTACACACAATTGGGCCCCATCCAGTCCACTCAGTAAACCCACCGTCGACTGTAATTGAAAGTACATAAATTGCAAGTTTTTCCCTGGCAACATCTGATTGGCAAACAAAGTTATTTGTTTTTCGTTTATGATTCCACAAACCGACAAAACATATAGGCCACTGACGCACTACTGTTTCCAGATTGACTGATAAAAGAATGGGCGGGTTGCATCATGGAATGTTTTCTCTGAATATTTGAAAATGTAAATTCAAAGATAGCAATAATTGTTGACTTTAAGCGTCAGTCTAGGCACGGGGCAAGTCGATAGTATGGATGTGCCTTGCTTCATTTGTTCACAAGGATGGGTCGTAGAAGAGCAAAGATCTTCGTACATGGGCATTACGTGAAACAGTTCAATGGCATACAAAAACGCTGCGTTAAAAACAACGCATCTGTTTCAATTCGTGCAAGGTAATTCATTTCAAATAGTTATACCCACAAAGTACATTCCGATTCGATTCGTTAACCTTTCTATAATAACCTTTAGTTTCTCGTGATCATAAAAATAATGACTGCAAAATAATCTTAACATTATGCTTCACTGACTCCACAGACTCATCGGCGGTTACAATAAAAGAGTAAAAACGTACTTGGGCATGCACTGAGGGGACAGTTAACAGTCCTAAATTCCTTATACAGCCCTGTACAGTTTGTGCCTCCTCCCCGTGGCGCCGGGTTGGTGCAGGTTCTGTTCCTGGAGACCACCTTGGTGGCTTGTATGTCGCAAGTCACGGCACACGTCGAGTTGGTCCACTGACTCCACTCTGTGAACCCACCATCGGCTGCAAGGGAGAGAGTAACATGTGAAGTACTCACAACATAGCGACAACAGCCTGTCGGAAGATGGCCAGTTTGGGGCGAAGTGCTGGATTGTCAAATGTACTTGTACCAGTGTGTTCCGTTTTAACTCATACAAAGATATAAGATATTTGAGTGACGTGTCCGGGAAATTCCAAAACGTCAGCTGCGGATTAACACTGACGGCAACATCGTGGTGGACAGAAGAGCTTCATAAAGCTATGATGATGTTGTTAGTGACGAAAGACTATGGCTTGTGGGATTTTAATTTCCACATTCCTGTACCGATTTACTGTCTGTCTGTCCGTCTTAGGTTAAAGCGTTAGCTCGTCTCGCCGAAGACCCGGGTTTGATTCCCGACATGGGTACAATGTGTCAAGCCCATTTCTGGTGTCCCCCGCCGTGATATTGGTGGAATATTGCTAAAAGCGGCGTAAAACCGTTCTCACACACTCACTATCTATATTAAATGTTCTTGTATCCAAAGTGGAACACTGCGACAAGTATGTCGATTACTGAAAGACATGTGAGTGATGTAGCGACGTACCATAGCATGAGGGTAACTTGCATATTGAAGATCTGGACTGAAGACTTTCGCCCAAACAGGGCTTTCCACCGCTAGTGGGTTCATTGCATTCTCTCTCCCTCTGCCGTATTCCTCTCACACCACTGCCACACGAGGCGAGGCAAAGTTCAGTCCAGTCTTGCCACGGTTGCCAGGTTCCATCAACTAAAACATATATAGTAGTAGCATTTAAATACAACAACAGGAAGCTCTCTACTCTTGCTTAAATGCAGTATTTGTGAGTGATTTTGAATGCGTCGTCTACAAGGTGATGAACACGGAAGGGTTATTGGCATTCTTCAAACTGGTAGAGTGAGTGAGGGAGTGAGTGAGTTGGGTTTGACGCCGCTTTTAACATTATTCCAGTTATATCACGTCGTGTCAACTTAATGTGGGAGGAAAGCTCGAAGCGATGCAGGTCTCAGACGTTTACCACTTCGGTGAAACCCTCGAGCACGAGTATAGTGCTGACAAACTTAGAAACATAATTTCGGCGAACCGGGATTCGAACCCCACAATCACAGGTTTCTGGCGTGCCAAAGGGCCGCAACTCTGCACAGCGAATCGCGGCGCCTTAAACGACAGGGTCACCCGTGCCTCCCTCAAACTGGTAGAACTCTTTGAGAGGTGGCCAATATATGTATTCAATATGTCTCTGAATGTGATTTGCGGAAAAGATTTCTGCAGACACAAAATGTTTATGATCGGCCCCGCACAGGGCTTTCTAGGTCAACAATACAAGTCAAGGATCAATTAACCAGAAAGGTTTGACATCGAATATATTTTCGCTTTAAGAATAATTACGAAATCTTAACTCTCTGTTCACACTTTCGTAACGACCTGTTTTAATACGTAACTTAATTATGACTTGATATTCTTACCATGGTGATATTCTTCCTGTCTTCATAATGCAAAAGGTCGAAATTAGATTCATACATAAAAGTGGGCTTGGCTTTTTCATACAGTTTACTCATTGATGATATATCCCTACGTCAGTTTTGGACAAACATATTTATTAAACTTTGCTTGAAAACATTACAAGACGCTTCTGGGGTTACACTGAGCGGATCAATCCACTCATAACCAAATCCATGTGCAAATAATATTTGTTTTACATAATAAGCCCAATTCGTAACAGTTCGATTTATTTAAAAGTTTGAATTAGTAACCTATCACTATGCTATATCTAGAAATGAAAAGTCCACGTTCAATTTGTACCACGTTAACAGCTCCCCATATTCCAAAACTATGCTTCATAGTGTATGTAACAAGAGAATACAAAAAATGGCACTAACGAGTTGTAACGGCACATTGCTGTTCATATCTTTCAATCCCTTTTCTTGCGACCCGTGAAGATCCGAGGTAGAATAGGCCTTTAGCAACCCATGCTTGCCGTAAAGGCGACTATGCTTGTCGTAAAAGGCGACTAACGGGATCGGGTGGTCAGGCTCGCTGACGTGGTTGATACATGTCATCGATCCCAATTGCGTGGATCGATGCTCATGATGTCAATCACTGGATTGTCTGGTCCAGACTCGATTATTTTACAGACCGCCGTCATAAAGCTGGAATATTGCTGAGTGCGGCGTTAAACAACAAACAAATAAACAATCCCTTTCTTGCAAATGTTTTTTTTTTTCAAAATCAAGATATTATTGTACCTAGGGAATTAAATGTGTCCATCTGTTGACCACTGTACTCCCAATATTTATCACGCCTTTTTTTGTCAGCACCATACCTGTGCTCGTGGGTTTCACCGAAGTGCTAAACGTCTGAGACCTGCATCACTTCGGGCTTTCCTCCCACATTAAGCTGACACGCCGTGATATAACTGGCATAATGTTAAAAGCGGCGTTTAACCCAACTCACTCACTCACGCCTTATTTTACCCGCTTTTTCGAAACACCAATTTTTCAGGTTTCGTTACATTAACTTCGAGGCCCCGATCTTAATCCACAATGAATAATTGAAAAGGTATTGGTGACATAACTTCACCTTGTTTGATACCCATAACGATAAGAAAATACTCTGATACACAATCGTTATCGTTATACTTTACACACGATCTGACAACCTCATAATACTTTATATTACATTGCATAGTTTACCACGCACTCCTTGTCTAATCATTTTATACAACATGCCAGTTCTTTAAATACTGTCAAAAGCTTTGGTGAAGTCTACAAATGTACAATATTCCTATTTGAATGATTATATATTTGTTCACCAAAGATTGTAAAACAAATGTGGCATCAATGGTTGTATAACCGCGCTTGAAACCAAACTGGGGATCAGAAAAAGTATTGCTCTTTTCGGCCCATTCAGTAAGCCTATTTGTAAAAGTACAGCTGTGAAGAGCTTGGAAAAGCAACAGTCATTTACTGTTTAATGTTATCACGCTGTGATTATGAACGTCTTTAATATCGCCTTCCTTATGAATTTGGTTAATTCCTTCAGACCAAGCTCTCGGGAACACACTAAGTGTGAATACCTATTGAACAATATTGTTTTGTTAGGAATAAAAAGATTACATGCACATTTAAGATCCATTTACAACACCGTCAGCTCCACAAGATTTGCCAGAAAAGGCAACCTTCACCTCTTGTTCTGTTATATCACACTCAAGCTCAGGAGAGATCATATCATTACCAGCCTCTAGATCGTTGTTTATCACATCGTCCACGTTGTTACCCACAGTACTGATTTGAGATGAATATAGATCTTTAAAATATGTCAAAAAGTCATCACAAGTAGGTTTGTCCTCCAAACGTCTTCTCCTTGATTGGAAATATTCAAATTCTCTTAGTCGTTTTCTTCTAAGTTTACTACTTTTCTTTTTTTACTGTAGGCAATTCTTATACAGTTTTTGGCTACATGAATCCTCATGTAACCATACCGCTAGGAAGATTCCTATGTATGTGAGAACTTACATATTTCTTTTCATGGCGTTAACGTCTATTTCATCTGTTTTAATCTCCCTTACGTCTCAGGGTTGAGTGTGAAAAGTCAAGTACCTTCGAGCATGTTAACGCTTAACCATACGCAGTACACAGCTATCGGGGAGTGATGCAGTATATAGTTGGTCACACTTCACATCACTAGTTTACCTGGTTACTCGATTAATCACAAGACACAGGGGTATTGTTTGAATATTACTGACTGACATGTAGCAACATTCCCTCACCTACTCCACGCTGAGTGTCTGTTTAGTATTCATCACATTTCTAAATAGCAAGCCATAACGGATGTTCATCACAGCACCCAAATGCCACCTACGTTTTATCAAATGAATCATCGCATCAACAAATAATGTACAGTTAATCTGATTTAATACCCACTTTTATGAACATGACAACAATGCATCAGAAACGCAACAGAAACGTCGCCATTGAAAATCATTACAAATGTTACACGCCAAATAGGGAATCCATAAATTTGATCACAAACGCGTGACATTTGGAAATGTCCTCTACATATCTACCATAAAAACTTTTTGAAACCTATTTTCGCAAATACTTTGAACATTGTAACACTTACCAAACAACTTTTTAGCAAGATTCCAAGGCTCTCTTTGAAATCTTTCGTAGATCGGTTGTAACGCTCGGAGTGAAAAAAACCCATTCGTATAAAAAGTCCTAATAATGTCCATGTAAGTTTTTTATGGGTATTTTTGAATCCTTCTCCACGTATAAAGCCAAACATTAACTAACTCTTAAGACAAAATACAAAGGACAGCTTACTTGGACAATCCCTCAAGCCACAGCTCACGCTCATTGTCTGGGTCAAGGGTCCAACACAGTTGGTCCCCCCAGGGTTGTCACAGCTTCTGGTCCTTGACTGGTTCTTCACTGCGCTTCTCCCACAGGTCAGTTCACAAGCACCAGTCCATTGGCCCCATTCGGAAAATCCCCCACTTTCCGCCGTTTCTATAAACAATTACGAAATAACACAGGGTCGTGTTATGACCAATGTCATTCTTCGCTCAAATGGCAAAAAAGTATAATAATAAAATATACAAAGGTGCAAAATACATACCAGTGACTGTAAGGTATCCCTTGGACTCCATGCCATTCACTGCATAGACATACTCTCCGCCGTCTACTAATTGGATATTTAGAACAACAAGGCGTCTATAGGAACCAATGTTCAGTGTGATTATATACTTAGCACCATTAGTAAGCAGTACGCCGTTCCTATACCATGATCCATTTGTGCTTACAGGGTATACGTTCACAAGAAAGCTCTGAATTTCTCCCACACCTCTCGTATAATTATCCATTCGCCCTGAAACGAAACGAAGTAAAGTAGAATTAAGCCGAGTCTGAATAAATATTCGGACGCTGATGTTATTGTTTATCAGCTATTGGCGGTAATGTTCGTACCATTATTTTCAAGGGATCCTTGTTTCTTATTTCAGTTGTCTCTACTTTCTAACATATATATGAATATATATGCAAACATTATATATATATATATATATATATATATATATATATATATATATATATATATATATATATATATATATATATATAATGTGTGTGTGTGTGTGTGTGGTTGGTTGGTTTGTGGTTCAACGGCCGCACTCAACAATATAACAGCTATATGGCGGCGGACCAGACCAGACAATCCAGTGATTAATACCATGAGCATCGACACACACAATTGGGATCGATCACAAATATGAACCAAGTCAGCGAGCCTGACCACCTGATCCCCCGTCATTCGGCTTTTACAGCAAGCATGGGTTGCTGGACCTATTCCGCCCCGGATATATATGGCGTATAGATATGCCTGTGTGTGTGTGTTTGTGTGTGTGTGTTTGTGTTTGTGTTTGTGTGTGTGTGTGTGTGTGTGTGTGTGCATATGTATACATGTGTATATGTATGTAAATGTGTTTATATGTAGTGTGTGTATGTGTGCATGTATGTATTTGTAATAATATTTTCGTATTAATGTGTACAGACAAGTAAAATGTGTCCATATAGGCATTTTACGTATGTTTATGTTCTTCTTGCAAACATTATGTTAGAAAAACATGTTTATGTTTTTCATGTAAATACATTTCTCTTTGTTACTTTGAAATATAGTAATATAAAATCAATGTCTGTCTATATACACAATTTGCGCCAAAGATCCAGCGTTTGTTGCCCGACGCCGCACGGCAGAACTCCGGCCACAGGACGGCGTGACTACACATTTCCTATTCATCAATAAAGCCAATAATTCGAAAAATTTAGAAGGATGTAAGACCCGTGAAGATCTGGGTTGGGAACAGGTGTTCAGCAACCCACGCTTGCCTTGAGAGGCGACTAACAGGATCAGGTGACCAGACTCGCAGTCACTGATTGTCTGGTCTAGACTCGATTATCTACAGACCGCCGTCATATAGCTGGAATATTGCTGAGTGCGGCATTAAAAACAAACAAACAAACAGAAGCATGGGAACTACCTACGCGGGTTTACGTTGAAATCGGCGTTCTTTGCTTACATTCAAACAAGATAAACAGCGCGTGATCAAGTGTTGTTTCTTACTACATCAAGTATTATTTGAAAAAAAGTTATTTTGATAAAACAACAGAAAAGACATAAGTGTAACTGCTCCCGTGCATGGACTCGCGTGTTTGTTACCATAGTAACGCGTCAGTTCTAAGTGCCATACCCTGTCTTACCTTAGTGGAATATTTAAATTCTATTGGCCCATTACGTGTTGATAAATGTCCTTATCCCAACATTAAACTACCAGCTTCTGATTGGTTAAGGGGCAGTCCATTATTTTCCATGTAGCCGGCTCATACAGACGCTGATAAATCAATCGGAACACACCTTAGGTAACTTACATTATTAATTCTGTGTCATCCATGAATCCAAATAGTTCCCAAATCAGCTGTGGTGAGCAAAACGTGAAAAATTGACATGTTGATGGGCACCTACTCACCTTGTTGTCCTGGATCCCATCTATTTCAGAAAACAAACAAACTTACCTCACTGACTGAAAAACATGGCAACTTACCTAAAACCGTAAGATTAGCCTGTCTGGTAGATCCATCAACTGTATAACTGTATTGTCCAGCTTGAGAGGTCAGCACATTTGGTATTGTCAGTGTCTGAGAAGCGTCGAGTGTCGTTGTCGTATATCTGTTGTCATTTGTTAAGTCAACCCCTTCCCTCCTCCAGACGCCATACGTGACACCAGCAGGACTGACAAATGCTACCATCTGTGGACTTGTGCCAGCAAGGGCAGTCACATCTCCCATGGAATTTGTAATAACAGCTGAAACAAGCATGACACGAAGATATCAACTGAATACAGACCACCACCAACCTGTGTGGTAATGTAAAGCAGTATGGCACGTAAAGAAACACGTTACTAGATGACTTTTCACCAATAAAAGTGAGTGAATATGCTTTTACGCCGTTTGTAGCAATATTCCAGCAATATCACAGCGGGGGACACCAGAATTGGGCTTCACACATTGCACCCATGTCGGGAATCGAACCCGGATCTTCGGCTTGACGAGCGAACGCTTTAACCACTGGGCTACCCGACCGCCTATCATCAACAAAAGTTAGCGATGATTATAATAGCGGAGAGTTATATCTCACCTCTAATTTTAAGTCATTATCACACTTTGTTTTTGAAGTTATATTCCCTCATCGTTAGTAATAATATAGTCGTGCATGTTCATGAATTACAGTGGACGTCATTTGCCATACTTAAATGCCACATTTCATGAATAGTTTGTTTGTTGTTTAACGCCGCACTCGGCAATATTCAAGCCATATGTTGGTCTGTAAATAATCGGGCCTGAACCAGACAATCCAATGACTGATCTCATGAGTATTGATCCACGCAATTGGGATACGATGACATGCATCAACTAAGTCAGCGAGCCTGACCACCCGATCCCGTTAGTCGCCTCTTACCACAATGAACAAGAATACATACCTTGGACAGACAGATATCCACTTGTCGTGACACCATTCAGGTTAAAGGTATATTCTCCTCCATCAGCAATTCCAACGTTATTTACAACCAGTCGTCGTCCGGTAGCTGTCCTCGTGATGGTGTATTTCGTACTGGAAATATTCAAACGAAAACCATCTTTCAACCAGAAGCCTTCAGCTGCCTCGTTAGGGGTGACCTGCGTCTCAAAAGTGCCTTCTTGTCCACCGGCACTTGTGTCGTTAGTTAAACGGGCTGAAAAGTAATATGATTCCTTGGTGATTTGGTTTTGTTTGTTTGTTTGTTGTTTAACGCCGCACTCAGCAATATTAAAGCTATGTGACGGCGGTCTGTAAATAATCGAGTCTGGACCAGACAATCCAGTCATTGACATCATGAGGATCGATCCACGCAATTGGGATCGATGACATGCTTCAACCAAGTCAGCCAGCCTGACCACCCGATCCCGTTAGTCGCCTTTTACGACAAGCATAGTTGCCTTTTACGTCAAGCATGGGTTGCTGAAGACCTATTCTACCCCGGATCTTCACGTGTTGATTCCTTGATTGAGTAATGTGTACTTTAACATATATGCGACAGCACATTGTACATTAACAACTTAAAATGAAACTTTCAAACCCTGCTATCAAACAACATGGTTGATCAAATTATAAAACACAATCCATTCTATCTTCTCTGTAGTTACATATAAATTTCTAAAGTCATTGAAAGATTGGTTATTAAACTTACTGAACACAGTTAACGTGGCTTGAGGATTGAGGCTGCCGACGGAGTACGTGTATGTTCCTCCATCTGAGAGTACAACGCTAGTTATAGTCAACGATCTCTCTAAACCGTTGACAGTTTGTATATATCTGCTACCACCCGTCAAGTCGATTCTTGTGGGCGTTACTTTTACCCAAATGCCTCCTGCAGGTTCTCCGGTGAAGGACACTGTAAATGATGACGAGGTACCAACCAAACGTGTGATGCTTTCCGGGCGACTGACGACAGACACTGAAACATTGATGAGATCGGTACATAGTGGATTCTATACACAACTGGTTATTTGAATTGATGCAAGTCGTATTTTAAAGATTCAAATTGATTCATCATATTTTAATATAAATTTACTTGCCAGTTAAAGAGCATAGGTCCTGGACGAGGCGTGATACTGTGAACTGCTGAGGTCTTCAATTTGAATTGCTGTCATATTGGACATAGCAATATCTATCAACTCCTGCTCATAACGTCGCTTGTCTGGTGACGATGAAGAATTAAGCAAAGGATTCATGCCTACAGCAAAGACCCGTATCCCACACGTCTTCGTCTCTGCAGCAGCAGTTTAAGTATCTGCTTGATTTTGTGACAAACCGTCGGTCATCACAATCATGAAGTGGGGGTTACCAGAAGTGTCAACGTCTGAAAAAGCTTTTGCTTTCCTTATACCAAGATGAGTGTTTGTTCCAGCGCCGGGTTTAACACGCCTCTGTATTTTACTCACTAGTGTGTTGACGTCAGGGGATGCGTTGATGACAGAAGATATTCGATCGCTGTACACTACGACGCCAACTCGGGTAAGACTGCTGCTTCTGATACTTTGATTAACAAACGTCATCAACGCATTTCTAACTTCCCTAAAACTGGCGTCACTGATACTGCCTGGTCCATCTACGACAAAATAAGCTGTATATTCCCCAGATCAACCAGTAAACACAATTATGATTGACTCTTAAACCGATATGTACTGTATTACACAAAGTAAGTAGGATTCTGGTATATTTTCGCTTGTTTTTTTGTTTAACGCCGCACACAGCTATATGATAGCGGTCTGTAAATAATCGAGTATGGACCAGACAATCCAGTGATTGATATTATGAGCATCGATCCACACCACTGGGATACGATGACATGCATCAACCAAGTCAGCGAGCCTGGCAAACCGATCCCGTTAGACGCCGGTTATGACAAGCATAGTCGCCCTTAAATGCAAGCATGGTTTGCTGAAGACCTATTCTAACCCGGATCTTCACGGGTCAAGTGGGATTCAAAGGGTATATTAAGATGACATACAACTGAACTACATTTGCTGTTTATTGAGTGAGTGAGTGAGTTGGGTTTAACTCTGCTTATAACAGAATTCCAGTTATATCACGGCTTGTCAACTTAATGTTGGAGGAAAGCCCGAAGTGATGCACGTTTACCACTTCGGTGAAACCCACGAGCACGGGTATGGTGCTGACAAACCTAGAAACATAATCGGGGCGAACCGGGATTCGATCCCAACTCTGCACAGCTAATCGCGGCGCCTTAAACGACTGGGACACCCGTGCCCCAAACAATGTACGGATGTATAGAGTGGTCAGGTGTTATATCATTTCTAGTTCTGTCAGAGTTGCCTCCCTTGCGCAATCCAGAGTCCTGTGTTCGTGGGTTCGAAACCTGGATTCGGTCTGATTGTGTTTCTAGGGTCTTGGCAGTAGCCTGAGCACGTGATAAGTGGTAATTGTGTTTAGATCTGCACCACGTCGGGCTGTCCTCTCCCCTAACATCAAGGAGACACGCCAAGATAATGTACAAATAGGTGTTCCTCTCCCCTCACATCAAGGAGACACGCCAAGATAATGTACAAATAGGCGTTCCTCTCCCCTCACATCAAGGTGACACGCCAAGATAATGTACAAATGGGCGTTCCTCTCCCCTCACATCAAGGAGACACGCCAAGATAATGTACAAATAGGCGTTCCTCTCCCCTCACATCAAGGTGACACGCCAAGATAATGTACAAATAGGCGTTCCTCTCCCCTCACATCAAGGAGACACGCCAAGATAATGTACAAATAGGCGTTCCTCTCCCCTCACATCAAGGAGACACGCCAAGATAATGTACAAATAGGCGTTCCTCTCCCCTCACATCAAGGAGACACGCCAAGATAATGTACAAATAGGCGTTCCTCTCCCCTCACATCAAGGAGACACGCCAAGATAATGTACAAATAGGCGTTCCTCTCCCCTCACATCAAGGTCACACGCCAAGATAATGTACAAATAGGCGTTCCTCTCCCCTCACATCAAGGTGACACGCCAAGATAATGTACAAATAGGCGTTCCTCTCCCCTCACATCAAGGAGACACGCCAAGATAATGTACAAATAGGCGTTCCTCTCCCCTCACATCAAGGAGACACGCCAAGATAATGTACAAATAGGCGTTCCTCTCCCCTCACATCAAGGTGACACGCCAAGATAATGTACAAATAGGCGTTCCTCTCCCCTCACATCAAGGATACACGCCAAGATAATGTACAAATAGGCGTTCCTCTCCCCTCACATCAAGGAGACACGCCATGATGAAGTACAAATAGGCGTTCCTCTCCCTTCACATCAAGGAGACACGCCAAGATAATGTACAAATAGGCGTTCCTCTCCTCTCACATCAAGGATACACGCCATGATGAAGTGCAAATAGGCGTTCCTCTCCCGTCACATCAAGGAGACACGCCATGATTAAGTACAAATAGGCGTTCCTCTCCCCTCACATCAAGGAGACACGCGATGATTAAGTACAAATAGGCGTTCCTCTCCTCTCACATCAAGGAGACACGCCAAGAAAATGTACAAATAGGCGTTCCTCTCCCCTCACATCAAGGAGACACGCCATGATTAAGTACAAATAGGCGTTCCTCTCCCCTCACATCAAGGAGACACGCCATGATTAAGTACAAATAGGCGTTCCTCTCCCCTAACATCAAGGAGACACGCCATGATTAAGTACAAATAGGCGTTCCTCTCCTCTCACATCAATGAGACACGCCATGATGAAGTACAAATAGGCGTTCCTCTCCTCTCACGTCAAGGAGACACGCCAAGATAATGTAAAAATAGGCGTTCCTCTCCCCTCACATCAAGGAGACACGCCATGATTAGGTACAAATAGGCGTTCCTCTCCTCTCACATCAAGGAGACACGCCATGATTAGGTACAAATAGGCGTTCCTCTCCTCTCACATCAAGGAGACACGCCATGATTAGGTACAAATAGGCGTTCCTCTCCTCTCACATCAAGGAGACACGCCATGATTAAGTACAAATAGGCGTTCCTCTCCCCTCACATCAAGGAGACACGCCATGATTAAGTACAAATAGGCGTTCCTCTCCTCTCACATCAAGGAGACACGCCATGATGAAGTACAAATAGGCGTTCCTCTCCTCTCACATCAAGGAGACACGCCATGATTAAGTACAAATAGGCGTTCCTCTCCTCTCACATCAAGGAGACACGCCATGATTAGGTACAAATAGGCGTTCCTCTCCTCTCACATCAAGGAGACACGCCATGATTAAGTACAAATAGGCGTTCCTCTCCCCTCACATCAAGGAGACACGCCATGATTAAGTACAAATAGGCGTTCCTCTCCTCTCACATCAAGGTGACACGCCATGATTAAGTACAAATAGGCGTTCCTCTCCTCTCACACCAAGGAGACACGCCATGATTAAGTACAAATAGGCGTTCCTCTCCTCTCACATCAAGGAGACACGCCATGATTAAGTACAAATAGGCGTTCCTCTCATCTCATATCAAGGATACACCCCATGATGAAGTACAAATAGGCGTTGAAGCTCACTAACCTTCTGTTCTAGTCGCTGTGATGAACAGCAGCGCAGTCCATGCTGTAGCTACCGCCCATGTCGGTGTCCTCATGGTTGTTTAGCGTGTATCTACAAATAGAAACAAACTCTCTTGAAGAAAACGATAAAGTGCATCTCAGTGTAAAGTATAACTGCACAATAATATTTCACACTCATGTATTCTGATAGTATTGTAGAAGAAGTTCAGTTATGAAAACGTTTTACTGACTTTATCCCTGGCGAACGAAAGCATTCAGTAACGATATTTTTTCACATTTCACAAATCAATAAGCCAGTGCATAATGAATGTCATCTATTGATAGTTTGTCACTGATATATTGCAATGTACGGTATCAAACCGAGACATCATCCCTGTGTTATTAGGGTGATTATGAAAAGGATAAAACACGCCTCCGAGGTTTTGGTTGAAAATATAAAACCACGAGCGAGGTCAAGGCTTTTCCTTCGTTCGCGGTTTTACATTTTCGACCAAAACCTCGGAGGCGTGTTTTATCCAACTTATGAAACGTCTAAATGCAAGAAATACCAGAAAAAAACATGGACATACCTTATAGTGAAACAATACAGTATGGCATTGTGGTTTTGACACAGAAGTTCATCCATGGTACGACCCAGAACATGTTGAGGGCCTCATGGAAAACGATAATCATATTTGTATATGGAAGAGGTCCAAATACAGCCTCAAACGTATCCGGGCCCAAATACAGCCTCAAACGTATCCGGGCCCAAATACAGCCTCAAACGTATCCAGGCCCAAATACAGCTTCCAACGTATCCAGGCCCAAATACAGCCTTAAACATATCCAGGCCCAAATACAGCCTCAAACGTATCCAGGCCCAAATACAGCCTCAAACGTATCCAGGCCCAAATACAGCCTCAAACGTATCCAGGCCCAAATACAGCCTTAAACATATCCAGGTCCAAATACAGCTTCCAACGTATCCAGGCCCAAATACAGCCTTAAACATATCCAGGCCCAAATACAGCCTCAAACGTATCCAGGCCCAAATACAGCCTTAAACATATCCAGGTCCAAATACAGCCTCAAACGTATCCGGGCCCAAATACAGCCTCAAACGTATCCAGGCCCAAATACAGCTTCCAACGTATCCAGGCCCAAATACAGCCTTAAACATATCCAGGCCCAAATACAGCCTCAGACGTTTCCAGGCCCAAATACAGCCTCAAACGTATCCAGGCCCAAAAACCTGACATTGTCCTTATGGATAAATCGAGTGAATGCGTTCTCCGTCCTATTTTTACACTAATGTGGTTGACAAGCTTAAGATTCAGGAAAAAGATGGCAAATATGCGGACTTCGCGTACGAAATGTTACGCTTTGCATCCCAAGTACCACGTTGTCCGACTCCCCATTGTTCTCGGTGTCTTAGGTTTGGTACCTCCCAATCTGTTAACTGACATTGGGAGAGTACCCGGGTTTGCTGCCAGGAATACAGCCCTTCTGACAATCTGGGTAATGCAGAAGGCTGCAGTGTTGGGGAGTCTTCATATTCTCCGAAAAGTTCCGTATGGGTTCGCTTAGACAGCGCTTCCTTGGAGAAGTCCCATTCGCTGTCTGGGCTGCGTGAAGAGGGGGCAAGGGCCCTGAGCTGATGATGAGCCTAACCAGCCTGACTGTGCCAGGATCATCCGAATCTTCTTTGTGGCGTTTAGTCTGTATATAATAATGATGATACCAAGGCTACTATGCTGGATGTTTTGTGAGAAAGACGTAACGTATCAAGAAAATGAATTACCTCCTCCTCGATGCCCCAGTCGTTAAAGGAAGAACATTTCCACAATATCAGCAATCAATGTCAATGCGTGCAACATAAACTCAAACTGTGGCAGTCTTCTGTGTACTGCGTCTTATATAGCAAACCCGAGCAGGACATGCAGAGTACGTACCTCTGAATGACACGTTACTTGTGAGATTTCAAAAGACCCAGCGACTGATAGTTGTCCATACAATTGCGCAAACACTATTGACGAAGGAGTTGTTACAACTGAGAGACTTAATGCATAACTATGTACGAAATGTATACATGTTAACCTAGATTCCCCCCCATTCATGTTATGAGTGTTCATTATTCACAGAACGACGTATTGGGTGTGGTAACCAAATCAGGATATTTTGACATGAAAAAAGTTTTAAAGTTTGAACATGAATGCTATTACATTATGTAAATTATGATAAATCGTAAACTTCTCATTCATGAGAAATATATACTTTGTACCCCTAACATGTAGAATTGCGACCTCATGGTTTAACGTTGCTTGATTCTTATTGGGTGTCACCACTGATTTTTCAGTGATCCATTCATATAGTTTTCGCTGCTATTTTGCCCTCGACACCAATTGAATATGTTTCGGAGGATAATCGAGACTGGTTAATGTCTGGCGTTTTTTATCTGACATTTTGCTCGTAAGTAGGTTTTGTTGTTTAAAGCCGCACTTAGCAATATTCCAGCTATGTGACGGCGGTCCGTAAATATTGGAGTCTGGACCTGACAATCCAGTGATTGACAACATGAAAATATATCTACAAAACTGAGATATGATGACATGCATCAACCAAGTCAGCGATCCTGTCCACCCGATCCCGTTAGTCGCCTCTTACGACAAGCATGGGTAGCAAAAGAGTCCGGATCTTCATAGGCAATATCTGACATTTATTTTCAATAGTCATACATGTTTATGGGTTCGTCTCTATTACGCCAATACAGTGTGATGTAGCCATGTGTGATGACTGCTTGTTTGGTGTACAATATTCATTCACTTTATTACTTCTTCATTTTAAACCTTATATATTAACTATTTAGGTAAGTGCTTTCACCTCTCAAGTGTGTCATATTTTGCACAACTAGTTTTACAACTAACATAATCGCATGTTAATGAATCGCTTATTTATTCTATACATACTTGCTTACAACTACTGTCAATAGGGATCTATCATTCTTTTCACGAGGGCATTTAAGTGTGTCTCTTACGCGTGTCTCTTCATGAAAGTAAAACCACTGGGTGATATTCAATAGCAGTCAGTGTCTAATCGATTTAAATATATACCGTGACTCCAGTTGAATGAACGTTCAACGTTAATTCACATTCGCTGTTGCCTGTGTTTACTCAGAATATATTTCTTGATGGTGCTGCCAATGACTATGTCATGTTGGTGCACGATCGTTAATGTCGCTCCATGAAGTCAAAGGTGCGATTACGAAGTCAATCCTTGTTTGTTGCAGATTGTTCAAGGTGCGGCTCTTCTCTTCGCTACATATATGTGTTAATGTGTTTCACCAGCGTGGTAAGCTTGGAAGACCGAGTGGTGGGACGTGGTCCTGTGCACGGCGCACAGGTCACCAATCTGGAGAGGCCTTGGATGGCCGACCGCGTTTCGGCAGTTTGGCCCCTGAGAGTTTCTAGGGCGTCGGTCCTGCTCCACACTGAAGCACGTGAGGTGTGTCCTTGTGCAAATGACTTTGTTCGAAATGTGCCTCTGTTTACCCAGCAGTGAATGGGTACCCGGAAGGATGAGATAACAATCTGGTTGTCTAGCGCACAACGGGCAGCTTGGCTTGTATACTCTCCAGGGAGCCGAGAATGATTGTTGAGTGTACATTAATCCAGTGGGTAATAATAGCGCTTTGAGCATGGCGTGGAATATAACAGCAACCCTGCAGAGTCCTTCGCTTTGATGAAGTCGGCTGGCCTGAAAAGTGAAACAGAAGGTTTTCTGTTTGCTTCTCAGGACCAGTCACTTCCCACTCGAAACCGTCAATGTGTGATTTTGCATCAAAATGTAAATATGAAATGTAGATTATGTAACGGATTAAATGAGACAGTCCAACACATTGCCAGTCAGCTTTGGCCCACACGCTGTGTCTTAAGCGACATGATGGTGTAGCTCGATAATGTTATTACCGTCTTCGCAATGCTTGTGGTTTTGAAACAGAGGTCAATCGATGGGACGACCCTGAATATGTAGAGGGATACAAAATTCTTTGCAGCCTCGGACGTATCTTGTCCTTTTTTATAAATCCAATGAAATCATTTATATCACTGAATTTTCTGTCCCTTTTGACACTAATGTGATTGACAAGATTCAGGAAAACATGACAAATATGCGGACCTCGCTTTCGAAATGTCACGCTTGCAACCCAAGTACCAAGTTGTCCGACTCCCCATTGTCCTCGGTGCCTTAGATTTGGTACCTCCCAATCTGTTGACTGACATTGGGAGAGTACCCGGTTTGTTACCAGGAATACGGCCTTAGTAATAGACTAACATCGTCTCTGAAATGAACATATCTTATAGATAAAACAGTTGTCAAATCATAGTAATATAAAATAGAATAAAAAGGAGCCCAGAGACCTTCTTTATTTTCCGAGTCTCGAAATAAATATATTTTACAGAAAAAACAGTTGTTAAATTATAGTTATAAAAGAGAATAAAAAGGAGCCCAGAGACTTTCTTCATTTTCAGATACTGCAGTAATCTAGACTTGCCAAACATTATAAACTTGCATGGGCTATATTGGATATATTTGTTTCAGGGTCTGTATGACAGACTACTGGGTTTACTACTACTAATTTCCATACTAATATTAATAATATTAATTATGTGGGTACTTATATTGCGATACAACCCAAGCTGCCCTGTCAGGCGCTAGCAGGTTAACAGTCACACTTCCGTCTCACCCCACACCAGCGCTATGTTCTTCTATATTGAAAAGATCTGCTTTCATGACACAGTAATTAAGCATGTCACCTGAATTTGGGACACGAGTGAAGTGACTTACTCAACTGTGAAATCGGTTAGCTCCTCTGTGTACGGCTTACAGACGCCAGTATATCTAAGCTTCATTGAAGTGCACTCATGTATGACAACTGTAGACCAATAGAGTGAGATTCACAACGTGACACTTGACGTGACACACACATCCCACGGCCGCGGAACTCGCCACGATAGTTATAGGAAAGTTTATTGTTTCCCCACTAAGCAATCACATTATATGTCGCTGGCAAATATTAAGGTCGTATTAATGTTTTAAGTAAAGCCTGATCTACCCACCTAAACAAGATCAGTGAAACCGTCTCATCTGTTTCGTGTCTATGCACAAAGATTCAGCGTGACAAAACACTCACACACGACTGTAGGACAAGAGGGATGACTTCAGCTTTCAAAGTCAACTATCCTTTATGTCGAGCAATATCCCGGCAGTTACAGCCTTTGGTGTTTACGTTTCACAAGTTTTGAGGTACAATCGAACATACTATGCTATTTGTTATGAAAATGGAAAGTGTTATACTGTATGTAGATCAATCTCATTAAAATCAGATCTTAGTTCTCGCTACCGCTAAACAAAGATCTGAGCAAGTCCATTGCGGGTCACGTCAGACCGACCTTGCGTGAACTTTGACCGACCAATGGAATGACCAATCAGAAGGCAGCTTTTTCGTGCTTTACGGCACTAATTTCAAATTGGCGACTACGCTTCGAAACATATTTTGACAAATTCTCGATTAAAAATTTGAAACCTGAACAAAAGAACATTCTG